ATGTGATGTGATCATTGAGAAGCTCTTTTCAATTAAGTATATATAGTAATATCATTTCAACTAAAGTGGTTAAAAAATGTTGAGAATTTTAGTTAAAACCCTCAATTGATAAAATTAATAAGATAATCTTTCTTTGCTCTGTTACCTTTTTTAATGCTAGCTTTGCTTTGCTTTCTTTCTTTTTTATAGCTTTTTTTTTTTTACAGCATAAACTTGACTCATCCTCTGAATCTGTAGCAATTATTTTCATCATATATTTGTCTTTCTACAAGGCCCTTATGTATCCTTAATCAAGCTAACCTAATTGTTAGTCAAATGATTTTGTGTTGCAGTTGCATTTCTATTATAGATCATAGCCAAAAAAAGAGATATGTTTATTAAATTCATGAATTTTGTAACATGATTCGACATTGGGTTTTTTTTTTTTTTTTTTTTTCAAATAGAACAAAGTTATTTTGTTCTATCTTATTATACCCACCTTTATGTTTCTGCCTTTTTTTCTTTGTACTATATATTGTTCCTATTATGTTGAAAGGGATTTAATCCTTCATTAGAACATGAAAAGTGTTTTGTGGCTGATCTCCATAATTAAAACTTTATGAATCATTCATTCAAAATGTATATAATTTAATGTTTTCTATAAAACAACAAAGCTCTCCTATCTTTTTGGCTGCACAATATTTAATGTTGGCAAACTTTGATATTATTAATTACTGTAATAATTTTGTTAAAGAAAAGCAATAATTTTGTTTCAGAAGCTTTTCTTTAACAAATTATTAGTATAATTAAAATTCCAAATACCCTTCATTACTTGAATCTTGCCATTATCATGCACTTATCAATCGTTAATCTTCAAACTACAGATGTATTGCAAAAGGTAGCCATCATCGGAAACAAAATAAACCCTTTCCCATGCATATTTCCAAAGTAAAAGCTAGCTTACCCAAAGGCCCAAAATTAAGCAGTTTGGTAAGGTGTATTATCAAAGATAAACACTCAATTTCTTCCCTCTTAGGCAGCTGGGCTGCGCCATTTTCCTCTAAATAAGAGATTGAGTTTTTGCATCACCTCCAGTACTCCTCCAGTTTGCTAGGAAGTGGTTTTCTTGTTGAAGATTTTACGTGACTTTATGCAGCTACGCCTACTTTTTTATATTTTTTGTTGTTGGTATGTATTTTTACATTATTAAGATAGCATACTTGTCCAAAAATTTTGTAGAAAAAATGACCCATTTATGCTACAACTACAAGCCATCATGATTAAATATTCCTGTTTAATAATTCTTTGTCTTGGCTTTTTCATTGTTGGGCAATCATTTGAATTGAAACCATTATCAAAACCATAACATAGATAATGACTGATTTGAAACCTTCTTAAGTGCTTCATGATTATAATTTATCCACTGTTTTAAAATTAAAAGTTGAAAGACAGGGAAGCAAACAATCAAAGTTTCTTTTTTTTAGTTGTTTGAGTTTGAATCAATTAAAAGGTTATGAAAAAATATTTTTTATAAATTTATTAAATTTAACGTAAATAAATTTATTTAATTCAATGGAAAAAAAAATTACCCAAAAAACTCTTTACCATTAAAAAACAGCTTAATCACAATGGTAGAGATTTTGATTAGATTAGTGCGTCTCAATTGGAGAGATAGGACTTTTGAATAGAAAGCAAAAAAAAAAGCAGACTTTGCTAAGGACACTTCTAAAATACAAAATTTGGTGCCCCTTTTGAAATTTGATTATCTTAAAGTTGGAGTTACTTCATTTCTTTAACAGAAAGATTCAGGTCTTGTCAAGGAAATCTTCCTATTGGAGGTTGGATTGTAATATGGAAAAGAAAGTTATCCATGATTCCATTAATATGATTGGTGCTATAAAATTGTTGTTGCTTGGAATATGTTTGTGACTAATGATGTCATGCTTATGTATAATGACTAGAAAATGTAGAGAAGAGAAAGATTATTAAAAAAAATATATCATTACAAGAAGCAAATGAAACAGAGATTTTTTTATTACCATCATAGTCGCACAATAAATGAAAGTGGAGAACAAAGGAAGATTATAGGAAAGTCTGGCCAAGAAAAAAAATGAAAATGAAATGAAACCCACATGAAAGGATTTTCCATATATTAGTAGAAAAATAGGGTTGTTAGGATCCTAAACTTTAAATATTCTTGATATCTCCTTGGGGAAAGTTTGATATATTTGTTCATATTAATATTGAAAGTTAAGAATGGTTTGTTTTAATTAGTAAATTGGTTTTGAACTAAATTAATTTTCACGATTTAATATCTATAGAAAAATTTATCGATTAATATCTTAATTTTGTTTTCGTTAAGCACTTTATATCATTGACTAATGGTGTTAAATGTTAAATAAAATGATGACATGACAAATATTAATCATTGGAAATGTGCCAAGTGTCATGATTTTGTTCATTGATTTCTTAATCAGCATATTATTAATTATATTAATGCCCGAGGTAAATACTATGACAAAATGAAAATTGAGCACCAAATCTGAAATTTTTTTAAAAGTATTAAATCATAAAAGGTGATATAAATCTGTTTCACATGAACCACTTTTTAACATGCGTACTTTAAATTGTCTGTCTTTCTTTCATGCTATTTTTGAAGTTATAGTCAGTTGAAATTAGGGTCTAATGGTGCAAGGAAAATTACTACAATGATGGCATGGGACAGCTGAGGATAAACAGTTGAGGATAGAGGCAATAGAAAAAGTAAAATATATATATATATATACACACACACACAACAACAAACGATTCAATCACCAAAACATGGACACTTGAGATAAAGAAAAAAAGAACTGTGGATAATTGGACAGACATCACAATAACGTAAATGAAGTTAATGCACCTAAGTTGGTGAGTAAGTTTTGAAACCCATAGTTTGGGTTCACTTGTATCTGATTTTTTTCCCTTCTACAAATGAATGGTTTGGCCTTCATAAAAGGGCTATTTCCCATCTTTTCAGAGCAACATGCAGGCATTCCAGTTTCAAGAATGTCAAAATGGGAAAATTTCCTTGAGCAGTTTCTGAGACTAACTTTAGACCTAGCCAAAATGGCAGAATATTCTGAAGACATACTTTAAATAAAACACTTAAGCATGAAAATCATGGTACAGATAAACAAACAAAATTTATTTTACTATTACTCAAATGTGCAGTAACCTGTTAAGACAAGGGAACCCAGGAGGCCTGCACTTTCTGTAACTATGATCAACCCTACCATCTCTAGCAATCATAATTATTGGGGAAAAAGAATCCAATCTCATTACCAGAATGAAGATTATAATTGGAAGTAACAAAATTATGACTTGTGCCTTAATGGAAAAAAAATTGAGCCCCTACAGTCTAGTAAATCTTGTTTCAGCTGCTGCCATTCGCACATCAGTATCAGAGGATAATTTTCGTGATCAATGTGCATGGTAGTTTAGTACCCATAACCTTACCACAGAAAGCAATGCAATTGGCTAACCAACCATGAAAAAAAACTTAAATGTTGATGGTTAAAAGCTTCCAAGTTGTGCTCCTAATCAACAGTAAAAACCTGAATTATCCATAGGGTTTCCAGCAGCCACAGGTTCAGGTTCCTTGATGTCAAGAACCACAGCATCTGAAGTTAGGAATGTACTTGCAACAGAAGCTGCATGCTCCGAGCAACATCTTACCACCTATGTTTCAGAACCAGAAGGTCCCTTGATAATCGCTTAACACAACATTCAACTTGACACAGCCATCTTTCTTTTTTTTTTTTTTTTAGTAGGGCACTTAATCTATACAAAATCTGAATACCATGGCCAAACCATTTGATTATATTCGAGATGTGCTACAGATGCACAACATTGACTGGAAAGGGTAAATATAATACTTCTGATACAATGTGAATGGAGTTCATTGTTTGATAACTATAGCTTTGATAAAAGCTTGTCCTACATTCAAATGCAGTCTCCATCATTCATACTAAACAATAGTTAACATCAAATACACTAGAAATTTTCTCTTCCTCTTCTTTTCCTCACATTTTCTCAGCATTGAGGAAACAAAAAGGGAAACGTAACGAAGAAACATTTAGAAAGAATGGAGACCTAGAAAGTTTACCTGAAAACGGCAGTTGGTCCTTTCATAGGATAGGGTTTGAAAAGGGTTTTTGAGGATAAGGAGGACAAAAGAGTCACAACAAAAAATGTCAGCTTGGGAATCTCCGGCGATTGAATGCAGGGATAAAGATTTTATAGTAGAAAATGGGTTCTGATATCTAGTGTAGGATTTTTACGACAGTCCTGATGTTTGAAAATAATCTAAGTCGTTGATGTGGACGACTAAGTCGATTTCCTTTTTTCGTGGGTTTATGCTTTGGTTGTTCATATGCTTAGACATTACAATTTGTGGCATGTTTGTTTCATGTTAAATAAATATAAAATATGAAAATTATCGTATTATAATTTATATTAATATATTAAATATAAATATTTTTTATTAAAATTATATATAATTTTTGTTAAAATTTTAAATTATATTATTTTCTTATTTTTTTGATATCGTGTCTTTGTCTAAAATTATTAACTCCATAAATGCTTAGCATTTAAATTTACAAACTAGTTTTTCATAGCATAATATCATATCCTCATTCATGCTTGTTTTTCAATTTTACCAATCTTCTCCGCCGGTAAGACGGATTTGGAATCTCCATATTGCATCTCGCCGTGCTAAGAGAGAACTACCAAGTAAATAACACCATCTTTTCTCTTTCTTTACCACCAGTTTCACACATGAATTCCGATACACGCGCAAGTTTTCACAGTTCATAATTTCATATGATCACTTAAGGTTGAGTTCATTTAGTGGCAATTGTCATAAATTATTATACTATGTATCATCATATACACACACTCCACAAGAGAATTTATTTTCGGACCTTAAGGACCTTCAAATAACCAAAGTCCTAGAATAAGAGTCTTGATATCCTAATGTTTCAAAACTCCCACAATATAGCATTGATTACAAAATCAGATTTTTCTTTTTCTGTTTTTGGCTGTAAAAGTGAACCTTCGACAAATCAATATGAAGGAGACTTGTTAAACACTGAATTCCAATGCATAAGCAATAGCACATCATCTGAAAAATCCAACAAAAAGTTTAATTAAATGTATAGCTAAATACTAATGAGGTACAGAATTCCAACGGTTGGAATCTGTCACTGAAGAAAGAAAAAGATTGAAACAAAGCAAAGAAATAGGTTATGGTGGATATCAGACGAAAGTTACAACTGTGACAATTAGAGTAATAAAGACTGAACAAAGTGACACTGTAACTACTAATCCTGAACTAGGATGTGGCCCTGGTGCGAGGCCAACCTGAGGTGGAGATTCTGCTCTTTGGTGCAAACCCATCACCCGGATGAGCAATTTCTGATCCTTCTTGCAGTGATCAGGGGCTCCGCTGATGAAGTAGAAGAGCCCAGGCCTATCAAGATTGATAACAGTCATTCCATCGTTAAAGGAAGAGATGGGTTTGTTTGTGTTGCAATGATAGTAATCCCATTTCTCCACCACAAGGACTGAATCATTCTGATACTCAAAAGCTTCACCCAAAAAAAAAAAAAAAACATGATAGCTAAATATCAGAAACCTGACAGTAAAGGGCCTGAAAATTTAAAAGTAACTTAATCTGACCTAAAGCCAACAACAGTGAGAATTTGATTAATAAATTCTTGAAAAATTGTAAGTGATATTGATAGTGATAGGTGTAACCCAGCAAAAGGTATATAAAGAAACTCACAAAGAGAGTCCCCGACATGAAACCTTTTACTCGTTGCCCACTGGGTATAGACCGCAGTGTTATTAGCGCTAGGCTGCTGCCAACCTAGATGATCACCTACTTTGAAATGCTTGGAAGCTTCAACTGAGTCATTCATGGCAACTAGAACGAGAAAACAAGTGCAAAAGATAAAACCCCTTAAAGGTTCCATTTCTGAGTTGTTAACTTTTTTGTATTAGAAATTAAGTTCAGATCTCAAAGTAGTAAATGATAGTAGTAAGAAAAGAGATATGAGGGAACTCAGAAAAGAATTTGAAGGAAGAATTCGAATAGAAATAGAAGTTGATTGAACTTTGAAGTGTGAGGTTAGCGGGCTGGGTTTGAAGAACGTGAGAGACAGGACCGGAGTTGCGGACAGTTACGTGGTAACGTGCGTTATTGCGGTTATTTTGAAGATTGATGTCGGTTGAATTATCTGACCTGTTAACTGACGGGCTCGACTTTGAAATTAGTTGTCACCATATAATATGTAATAGTAATTTTTTAATATGATAAAAATATAACACAATAATACGATATAAAAATAATATATATAAAAAACATAAAAATAATACAACTTCAAATTTTTAAATAATCATCAATATATTAAATAAAATAAATATTTTATATTTTATATTTTCATATCAATACAAATTATAATACGATTTTTATATAAAATACGATATAAATAAAATATTTTATGTAATACTATGACTCAAACTGTGAACTCTAATTCTTTTAATGTGTAAAATTTGAACTGCCATACTAATTTAATTTCAGTGGAGATAAAATTTTCTTAAACTGTAGTAGGTACATAACATGCAAAACTGTTTTTAGGATTTCAGTGCGTACAGTTGCCCCCACTGCAACCATTGTACAATCCTTTTCTGCCTACAGGCTACCTGCATGTCTCAAACAGATTGCCTGACAGATGGCTCTTTGTTTATGAACTGCTACCAGCAATCTTCACTTTCTGGTGCATCATCATTTCTTCGAACTGAGCTCGCTTGGCAACCCTAATGTCAAGTAGACTGGGTGGCATTGGCTTAATTGAGGCATGCAATTCAACAAGATCAAAGAATTCCTGTTTTGTCAAACTTTTTTTCTCAGAAAGCGCATTGACCACAGCATCCATGAACTTTTGATTCTGCTGTAAGATCTGATATAAAAAAAATAAATAATGGATCACATAGATCGGATATTAAAATCAGTAACTAATAAGTGCTACTTGTACAAGCATTAAAATACCTCTTTTGCTCGCTCATAACACATGTGCACAATCCGCAATGCCTCCGAATCTATTTCCTGATATTCAACAATTTAGTCTACATTAGATAACAAGTACAGAGAAGAGAAGCAGTTTCCAAAATTTCCAATTGTATCTGCCATTTCATGAATTTCAACTGAGCTTGAATAGCAGCCACAGGAGACTTTGGCATAATTTATCTTAACCTTGCACTTCTCAAAACTCATTTTACAATAAAGATGCTTCAGATAAATTTTTTGAAGTAAAATAAGGAATTCAATAAAGGTTGCCTGCTTTGACTTTAGAAAAATTACGACAACAGGAAGGAGGCTGTACACCAGAAAGTACCAAAAATACCTTCTCAAAGAAAAAAGTAGAAAGCAATTAAGAATGCATACTTAGCCATATGCCAAAACATTGCCAAAATTTTCCTTTATAAGAAACAAGTGAAAGCAATAAGGATGTATCCTTACATTAATTCGATCTGCAACAAAGAAGTTAGATATGCCATGATGTTTCTCTGACAGGCCACCAAGAACAAACCTCCTTGCTGCTGACCTAGCATTGTCTGCTGTTTCAGCCCATATTGTACTTAACTGCAATAATGAAGGATATTACAATTGGATCAAGTTAATATACTGAATATGGTATCAAATATAATCTTATAATTTCCAAAAATCTAGCTCCTAACTAGAAACATAGATCTACAGTATGCAGCCTTTTCATAAAATTTTTTACAAAAGAAAGAAAAAATATGATATAAAATTAATATTGCCAAACCAAGCTTCAAACTAACATATTGTGCATCAAGGCACCCAATAACTATCCTATATGCATATCCTTGAATCACACTTAAAAATTGAATTCAAATTTTCTCAACATCAGCAATTACTATCCTATGGGCCCTACTTGTAAAGCTTTTATGGTTTAGTCACCATAAAATGATAATAGTAATAAGGGTCAACATATTGTTGCACTCCATAAGCATTCATGATGAAGCGAACATATGCAACACCAACACGCACTCAAACAAAGCATTTAATGACCATAGGAGCAACCTTGACTTATTGTGGAAATAAATTAACAAAAACCATCAACCATAACCAGTATACCAAAAATTCATAAACACATGAGAAATAAACCGAAAAAACAACTTCCTCAATCTCATAATTATTAGCTTACTCCAAAAACCACAAATTTTGAAGTTTGAAGAACTCCCCACTTTTGCTGCCCAAAACGACCTTCATAAAGAGTTTATTAGAAAACCCAAAAACTGCAGGAGGCTATTAATTACATAAGAAGGTTAATCAATTAGACTTGCCATTTTAAACAGTAGTTTGCACATTGTTAGATTTGCGATTTTTGAAGCTTCTATTCACTTGATAAGAATGCACCATTGAGGAGACTCAATAATGCAGGACATGACTTCCATATCACAATTACTATCTCTGCACCCTATCATCTTCCAGGCATGTAAATAGACATTAATGTAAATGTATGTCAAACACAGACTTCTCACCTGACCCTCACCAAACCAAAGTTCATCAGCTGCACGGGGTGCTAATTGAACAGTTATGTGATCAAGAACAGATTGCCGACTGCATGACATTAGGAAATATAAGTGAACAGTTGAAAAATAAACAATGGAGATAACTTTTAGTGCAATATTCACAGGAAAGTAGAGTGGTAAGAAAACAGTATTACAGGCAATTGAAAGGATAGTCCACTAATTAGTTGATCATAAAAATTTATTATACAGAGGATGGTCCCAAAATTAGTGATAATAAAACTATTATTATTCACCTTGGCCGACATTCTTGGCAGTTAATAGTCCTTAACAATGATGCTTATAAGCATGAATAAATGTTGCATACCTTAGCATTCCTTCCATAAATTTGTTATAATCCATTTTCATCCGAACATAACCCAATTCCCTACCTGCTCTAGGAGCAATTGTGACCTGCTCAAAAGCAACAATTAATGAATATTATACTTCCAGACATTGCATACTAACGCAATCATATGTTATTGGCCAAACAAAAATGCAATCGTATGTTAAGGTGGCAATCAATCAGGGAAACTTGATAGTCAGATCCACTTTGAAATCTAGGTTCAGTTTTACATCAATACCCTCTATATTATAACCCGAAAAAATGCACCAACGTTGACAGATTCTCAATGGAATCTTCTAGGATGCCCTTTGAATTTCAGATTTGTTCCCCATTGTACACACATACCAAAAAAAAAAAAAACCATAGAGACAACATATATCAATAATATTGAAATGCTTTAGAAGCTCTAACAACCAGTTAGCTGCCAACTCACTTGCAGAGACTCTTTTATGTCTGAATATGATCATGACAATAAGAGTCATCATCTAGAATGGTAAAATATAATTTCAAGACCATCTCTCAGATTTTCAAAGTGTTTCTTACTAGTTGCCAAATCATCTGAGGTTTCATGTCAGGCAATGATACGGCATATGGAAGATTGTAGTTTTCTAATCAAGGTATAGTAATGACTCAAAAACCAGAGTATCAAAAGGTAATCAAATATATACTTGACCCATTTATTAACACAAACATACACACACACACACACACAGAGAAAAGGAGATAATCTAATTACTTTCTCAATCTGTCACTATGTACAGTAATTCACATTACATAAGAAATCAGATCTGCTATAAACTGTATGTCAATATCAAAACAATGCATTGAAAGAGGTGCAACACATATTACAGCTGGGCATATTGAGTTAAAAAGTATGCAAGAAATGGCAAAGCAAGTAAAGATCATACAAATTCAATATTTTTTAAATCAGGGAAGTTCACAGCTACAACAGCCATTGCCGCTTCATTTATAGCCACTTGTTTCCATGACTCATGGCTTCTCTCCTTCCTATCTAGCATACCTCTTTCTTCTATTTCTGCCGCTTGGAGCAAATCATCAGTTGTAATCTGCAGCAGTACAAAAGCAGGAAGTCAGAGCATCACTAAGAGGCAACAGGCTAAGGGCATTCATACCTAGCACTATCATCCAAGAAGTATTATCTCCAACTTCATTCATTTCATATACTGTAAAATCCTCTTAATTTTATAAAATTCGTTTCTCTGAGTTCCACTTCTCTGTTTCTAATAACTATTTCTCATCAGCAATAACCCCTTCATGAATTCCAGTAAACTAAAACAGTGTCAATTAATGAATAAGATAGTTCACAACTAAAGTTGTTAGTACCTCAGTCCTTCCATCACGGATCATATTAATAGCAGCAATCTCAACTATGTTAGCCAGCTCAGCACCAACCATTCCACTAGTCATACCGGCAATAGCCATATAGTCCACATCCTCAGCCATTGGCTTCTTGCATGCATGAACCTATAACAAGGAAATGAATTGTATAGAAAAATAAAAGCTAGCAACTAACTTTAAAAATTTAATGGAACACTTCATAATGAGAATCACTGTAACACCATTAAAGCAAAATTATGTCTGCATGTAGATACCTGCAGAATTTCCATGCGACCTATAAGCCCAGGTTTGGGGATAAAGATTTTTCGGTCAAACCGTCCAGGTCTCACAAGTGCAGGATCTAGAATGTCTGGTCTATTTGTGGAAGCAATAGTGATAACATTCCCTCTTCCTTCAAAACCATCCAAGCATACAAGAAGCTGTAGCACCACAATATTGAAAATATTTTTGTAACACATTAAAATAGGAAATGAAACAATTTTACATTCAAAAAAAAAAAAAAAGAAAAAACGTAAAATATGTATAAGCAAAATAGGTCCCAACTCCCAACAAACCTGATTTAGGGTTGCATCACGTTCTTGTCCACCAGAACCCTTAATTAAACCACGCTCTCTTCCAACAGCATCCAACTCATCAATAAATACGACTGACGGGGCCTGCCAAAAAAAAGTAAAGTGATGGCATGTTGTACTGGAGGTCAAAAAAGTAGTTCAGAAACAGCAACCAGAAAAGCAAGTCAAAGCTGATACTTTAATAAATCCATTATCATGCAATAATGTTAAAAGCACCAACAAGATTGGAGTTGGACATATAAATTTTATCAATATAAAAGTAACTTAATTTATACATGCAGAAGGAAAAGAGAACAT